TCTTATTGCTTTTATGGATCCGATGTTGTTTAATGCGTTGGTTGTTTCAACGGCCGTCGGGGGACGGCACCCCGGCCAAGCTAAGTCAGGGGACTTAGCTTAACTCTTTCTATTGAATCCGTTACCGCCCCATCCACAAAGCGCCGCCTACGCTATCGCGGGCAGCACCGGTCACCGATGAAAATACATTCTCTTCTTCCCGCCAGCGCAGTGTACCGATCAGGGCCATTACCACCGCTTCTTTATAACGGATCAACTGCTCATCGGGTATGACTACCGATACTTCTTCCGGCTCCAGTAAAGATTGCAGCACGGCAACGAGATGCGTATTTAGAGCACCGCCACCGGTAGCCAGCATGGTCACAGGCCCGCCGGGTTGCGGGTTGTTTTTTATCGAGGCAACAATCTGTTCTGCAATATGATACACTGCCGTAGCCAGCGCATCTTCCACCGACAAACCGGCGGCTTCCAGTACCGGGATCACTTCCTGCACGGAGAATTCATTGGCCAGAGATTTAGGGGCGTCCTGCCGGTAGTACGGTAATTCATTCAGTTGTTCCAGCACTTTTTCATTCACCATGCCGCTCTTTGCAAGGCTGCCGGCATCATCATATTCCAGGCCTTTTTTTGCAGCAAAATGATTGAGCACCTGGTTGCAGGCACCAATATCAAACGCGAGGTAATCATCATTGTGTTTGATGGTGACATTGGCAATGCCGCCCAAGTTGAGCCAGTATTGATGCCCGCCAAAGAAAAGACGATCGCCCACCGGAACAATAGGTGCGCCCTGCCCGCCCAATGCAATGTCCATCGCCCGGAGATCGGAAATGACCGGCATCGCCAGGCTGGCAGAGATCGCGGCGCCGTCCCCTAACTGGAAAGTCGTAGCGGCTGCCGGATCATGAAAAACAGTATGTCCGTGAACGGCCAGGAAATCCACTTTCAGGTCCAGCTCATTGGCAGTCATAAATTCAGCTACCTGCTGGCCGAGATGTTGGCCGAACGAAGTATGGAGTTTCAGAAAATCAGGTACAGCAATCTTTTGCGCCTGCTGCAGCCTGGTGATCCACTCCGCTGAATAAGGATGACAGGCCGCAGCCTTGATCTCAAACGACCATTTCCCGCGCGACTCATCGATGTGCACATACACCATATCCAATCCATCCAG